ATAGAAGGACGGTAGTTAACACCTTAGCCACCAGAAGGAAGAGCAGTAGCTAGATCCTCCCCTCACGAAGTAATGCCTGACGGCGGTTTCCATGAGGGATTAGAGGAAAGAGGAAAGGGGTTTAGGGTTTAGTGGGTAGGGGCGTCAGCGTCGAGTTTTAGTATGACGCTGCGTCGAGTCGCCACATATCCGGGCCAACATCTATGCCTAGAATCCGTAAAAAGGATTCCCCCCCCCTAAAGGGAAAAAAAAAACACACACACACACACATACATACAGACATACGGACAACCTCGTGGGAATAGTCAGGGAAGCTGCCTACGGTCTTAAAACATCGAGATCTGATGAAATCTCGATTTTTTCAAAACAGGATGAAAACAATAACTTCCCGATTTTTGAAAATCTGAGATTTTTAGCAGGAAGTTAAAAAAATTAGGAAAACGGTTGACCCTATTGAAAACAATAGAATTTTTTATTGTTCATATAACTTCTAGATACGAGAATAAAAAGATACGAAAATACAAAAATAAAGAAATAATCCAGTGTATAACCGGTGACGTTAGCCGATTCGTCTAAGGCGCATGGCCTATAGAGCACTCGGACTAGCTTACCAGCCAGGCGTGGGTTCGAATCCCAAGCTGGTCTTAGAAACCAGCTTGCTTGAGATTCGACCCTTGCCACGTAGGTTAAGATTTTTACAACCCAAAAAGACCCCAACGTACCACTCCCAACAGTTAAAAAGTCGGCGATATGAGCACAGCAGTTGAAACCAATTCTAAATGATAGTTAATAAAAAAAAAAAAAAAAATAGGAAAACGGTTCACCCTGAAGGCCATTCCTTCAACTTCCCGCCAATTCTATACCTAAACGCTTGAAATTGCACTTATGAAGTTTTAGAGCTCTTCGAGCTCATAAATACAACTTACGTATTATTTTTAGCTCTCCGAGCTCAAAAAAATAGCTTTTGTATGCTTTTAAGCTCTTCGAGCTCAAAAGTTTGATAGAAGTTTGATAAATCACTATTTTTTTAATTTTTAAATCGCAATAACTTTTGAATGAATGAACCGATTTTGACGCGGTTGGCGGCATTCGACATAGTTTTTTTAAGTTTCATAAAAATTGTTGAGTTTATATCGACAGAGTGGAAAAATTCGTAGTAATTCCGAAAAAACGCTTTTTTCGGTTTTCTTTTGTCAACGATCACTCACGAACGAATTAACCGATTTTGACCGGACTGGCGGAGATCGATGTGGTTTTTTTAAGTTGAGAGCTGATTGGTTTTTGAAATTGATCGGTAAAGCCGTTTAAAAGTTATTTCGAAAAAACCACTTCTGAAAAAATTTTTTATTGTAGTTTTTTTACGATTTCTCAAAATCTTTCAGTCCAAACCGGTTCAAATTTTCAGGAAATCTAAGTTTGGGCACGCCCCTTCGAATTGCACCAACCACAATCAAATCGGTCGAGCCGTTCAAAAGTTATAAGAGGTTTACATCCATACACACACACACACACACACACACACACACACACACACACACACACACACACACACACACACAGAGAAATCTGTGAAATACCTCTGGAGTGAGAAATCTGTGAAATACCTCTAGAGTCGATCAAGATCCGTAAAGCCTACAGAGGTACTCAGACTACTACAGTGACGCTACCAGCGACAACTGCACAGAAGCTACTAGAAGGAAACAGCAAAGTGAGAATTGGTTGGGCCAACTGCCGAATAAAAGCAACGAAGAGACCTGTCCAATGCTTCAAATGCTGGCACTTTGGGCACTTCGGATCCCAGTGCAAAAGTAAAGTCGATCGGTCTAGGCTTTGCATCAGGTGCGGACAAGAAGGGCACAAGATTGCAGATTGTGAAAATCCAGCCAAATGTGCACTATGTGCTGAGATTGAAAGTGCAGAGAATGTTGCCCACCATGCTGGTACCCATAAGTGCCCGGTATTTCAGAATGCACTCGAGAAGTTGACGAACAAGCAAGCATGAGAATACTGCAGCTCAATCTCAACCGTTGTGAGGCAGCGCATGACCTGCTGATGCAATCCGTGCGAAAACTAGAGCTTGACTTGGTACTGATAGAAGAGCCATATAAACACCTGAGTACCCAACCCTGGGAATCTGACAGCACATCCAAAGCTGTCATCTGGTCATGTGGCAAGCTCCCTTTCCAAAATGCAGTCGACAACAGCAATGCCGGCTTTGTAGCAGTATCAGTAGAGGGCATCCGCTTCTATAGCTGTTACGCACCACCTAGCCTCTCTACTGTCGAATTCACCGCATTTCTGGATCGACTTACCGAGGACGTGAAGCATTACCACCCAGTGGCAATAGCCGGGGACTTCAACGCCTGGGCAGTAGACTGAGGCAGCAAGCATACAAACGCGCGAGGAAAGGAATTACTAGAAGCCTTTTCTACACTAGATGTAGTACTGCTCAACAGTGGTGACACACCAACCTACACCAAAGGAGACGCAAGTTCTATTGTAGATCTCACTTTTGTCGGTAATAGCCTTGCCAGAGGCGACTGCAACTGGAAAGTGTTGGACATCTACACTGCCAGCGACCATCATGCGATATTCTGGGAAATATCAAGCGACCAGAACCCCAAGAGACCAGTCAAGCAGTCTAACATCGTTGGCTGGAAGGTAAAATCTTTTGACCCAGAAGCATTACTAATAGCCCTCGATGGTGATCAGATCGACATTGGATGTGCAGAAGAACAGACTAAAGACCTGATGAGGAGAGTAACACATGCTTGTGATGCCAGTATGCCTCGTAAACGTGGCATAAAGTCGAGACCTTCGGTCCATATGTGGAACGACCACATCAGCGCCCACCGTAAAGAGTGTCATAAGAAAAGAAGAATCTCTCAGCGCGGCTATCAACGGCCCAACTCAGTGGAGCTGATCGCAGAGTACAAAAAGGCGCGTCGTGAACTGAATAAAGCCATCAAAGAGAGCAAAAGAAGATACTGGAAAGAGCTTATATACGAAGTGGATAAAGACGTGTGGGGTAGGCCTTATAAGGTGGTTACGACCCACCTGAAAAAGCAACAAATGCCATCAGCTACGTGCCCTCAACTTCTTCAGAAAATCGTCACTGCACTGTTTCCACAGCAACGCAACTTAGATTACCAGTTGGCGCCAGGCGAATTGGACGACATCCCACCTGTCACTGAAGAAGAACTGCTGGAGGCTTGTAACCGTATAGGGAATAATAAAGCGCCGGGATTGGACGGAATCCCTAATTTAGCCTTGAAAACCATCATAAAGGCAGCTCCAACATTATTCCTAGACGCTTATAATGCATGTCTCAAGGAGGGGACTTTTCCTCGTAAGTGGAAATAGCAACGATTAGTACTGTTACCTAAATGGAAAAAACCACCAGTAGAACCGTCATC